ATAGTGTTCTTATGTACTGTCCACCCTAAATAACAATATGTCTGCAAACTTAACTTCCCCTCCAATTATTTTGTAATGTGTGGTTCCTTTTTAGGATTCAGCTAAGCACTATGCTCCTCCAAGCTCAGAAACCATGCTGCTAATGATGAGCTTGCCCTGACTCTGGAGAAACATTTTGCTATAGTCCCACTTCGCTATAGTCCAGCTAGTACAAACTCATCTTGTATTGTCCAGTAAACAGAAGGGATGTTGTATTATGTGCTTTAAAATAGCAGCGGTAGGCAGATTTTCCATAAGCACCACCTGGACTTCACAGATCCCTGATCTGTACACCATCCACATCAGGGTTCCCTCTCTGCCCAGTTTCTTTTTACTTCCCTTGCTCTGTCTTTTCTCCAGAACATTTATCATCAAACCATCTTGCATAAACAGAACATACGATAGATTTGCTCATTTATTTCCACTCATTTATTGATGGGCTTTCATAACTCAGTTCTGAAAGGCTATCAATAATGTGTAGAAATAAATGAATGCAGTCAGTCCACTGCATATCCTACACAATTAGAATATAAACTCAGAAACCTATTTCTGATGAGCAAGCGTACAGGATAAGTAGTCATTAAAGCTGAGTTGCAACACTTGTCTACTACAAATACACAAAAAGCTTTTTCTTGCACTTTTTTTTAAACAAGGATCTAATTAATTTCCTCACAAAACGAAGGTCATTGGTAAAAGCTTTTATTCAGCTGATTTATGTCTCTCAGCTATCCTGTTAGGTGCCTCCACAGAGACTACACAAAAGAATGCACTTTCTGGAAGTAATTTGGAAGAATGCAGTAGGCATGTTAGCGGTCTCAGGGGAAACCCAAGCAACTTTCTGTATGGCTCTAGATCAGAGGTGGGCAATAATTTTTTGGGGGGGGATCGCTTCTTAGTTAATTTTGGTACATGGTCATGGGCCAGCTCCAGCCCGGAAGGGGCAGGGCCTGAGGTGGAAGGAGTGGGGCTGAGGACTAGCTTCCCCCCAGAGCTGTCTGGGGCCAGAGGCTTTGAATTAAAAGTACAGTAAAGCGCTCGCGGCTCCCTGCCCCCACCTCTACCACAATGCCTAGAAGCTGCCCAGGGTTTCTGCAGCTATTTAAAGGACTCACAGCTCCAGCCCAGCTGGGGTAGCGCTGGAACCAGGAGCTGGGAGCTATTTAAATAGGATCCTGCTACCTGAGCCACCACCTGGAACTTCGGTGGCATGGGCAGCAGGATATAAATAGAAAGTGGCCAGATGGAGCCTATGGGCCAAATCAAGGTGTTAGGCAGGTCAGATCCAGGCTCCAAGCTGCATCTTGCCCAACCCTGATCTAGATAGCCAACCTGCTAAACCAAAGTTCAGTAAAAGGAGATGCATTTGACAGTTCATTTCTTTGGCTCCTGGGAAGGAATGTGTCCCTACGTTTTCATTCTCCTCACCAGCCTTTCCTGCAGGCTGGTCACAGGATTTAAAAAATTGTAAATGTCATGATTTCAGCTACTCAAATCTGAAATTTCATGGTGGTATAATTGGAGTGGTCCTGACCCAATTAAAAATGATGATTACAAGGTTATTATGGGACGGTTGCTACCATTATTTTTGCACTGCTGGTGATGTTGGCACTGCATTCAGACCTGGGCAGATGGAAAGTAGTGGCTGCTGTGCAGGAGTCCAGCTCTAAAGGCAGCACACCACCAGCAGCAGCACAGAAATAAGGATGGCATAGTATGGTATTGCCACTCTTACTTCTGCGTTGCAGTTAGTGGGGCACTGCCTACAGAGCTGGGTGCCTAGCCAACATCCACACAGTTCTGAAGTCAGCACAAATGTAGGGGTGGCAATACTGAAACATCTGCACATACAGCTCCCTCTTTTCTATGCCTGGGATCCCCAATTTAAGAAAATCTTATCACTCTCACGAAATCTGCATAGTACAGAGTAAAAGCACACAAGAGACCAGATTTCATGGAGGGAGAACAGATTTCACGATCCAGGACTTATTTTTCATGGCCATGAATTTCGTAGGGCCCTACACATGGGTTATTTCTGTATAGAACTTCGAAGGACTGCCAGTTTCATTTCATAGAGATCCTCTTATTTTTCCATCAGCCTGCTGGCAGAGCATGCCTCCCCAACCCAGCCACTAGCCAGCCCTGCAGGAAAGGCTATAGATTCCGACTTTAACTCTACAGCTCCCTCAGGAGCTGTCCGAGGCCAGGAGCACTCACAGTCCCTGCTGCTTCTTTGCCATCGCTTTCTGGTATTGTTCCTAAAGGAGCTGGTTGGGCAGTTTGCTGATATGAAGCTTAGTGGATCAAGCCCAAGCTCCTTCCCAAGTTGGAACATCCAAATTGCTATTTTTAGGCCATGTTATCACTCTAGGAAAGATTGATGCTGCCATGATCAATTTTCTGGAGTTCGATTTAGTGGGGCTAGTAAAGACCCATTAAATCAAACTCAGAGGGCTCCCCCATGGGCAGCTGGTACTTCTGCTCCTACAAGGAGTAAGGGAAGCCCACTGTGGGGACAGCAGCAAAATTCAAATTAAGGTATGTCGACTCCAGCCACGTAATTAACATAGCTGGAGTTGCATATTTTAATTCAACCTTCCCTTTAGTGAAGACCTGGCCTAAGTCTGTTAATGCAAGTTCTGCTGGAGACATGCTCCCATCTGCAAAGTAGCCATATCTTATAGGTAGAGTGACCATATTTTTCTAAAGGGAAAATGAGACAATACATGGAGTAGTCCAAGAACCGCCTCCCTGCCACCTCCAGCACCAAACTGTCCCAAGCTGCTCATCTGAGCCCTGCTCCCTCCTCCTGGGTAGAGCTGGGATCATTGCTTGCCCATTCCCTGCCTGTCTCCTGTTCAAAGCCATGTCTACACTACAGAGTTATGTCCATACTGCAAGTGCTTCCTTTCAACAGTAAATTGAAAGATTAGAGGGCTTTTTGCGCATTGGGTAATCCTCATTCTACGAAGAAGAAGCCTTTTTGCAAAAAAGCTCTTTTGGAAAAAGGCGCGTGTGGACAGGGAAGAGGGAGGTTTTTTGGAAGAAGAGGGAAGAGGAAAAGGCACAGGTGCCCTAGTGGCCTTTCTGTCCATAGCAATCACTGCTTACATGCGAGATAGCGTCCAGGCAGTCTGGATGCTATCTTTCGAAAAAGCGCATCGCTTTTTCGATGTACTTTTGCAGTGTGGACGCTCTCTTTCGCAAGAAGTTTTTTCAGAAGATCTCTTCTGAAAAAAGCTTCTTGCACAAGAAGCCTGTAGTCTAGACGTAGCCTTGCAAGTCTGGAGCTGACATAGCTGTTCTCCAAGCTCTACCACTTCCCTGCATTTCCACTCACCCTTGACATTTGTTCTATTTGCTCTTGCCAAGTGATCAGTTTTACCAAAAAAGTTGGGACAGGCAGGACAGGGCTTAAAAAGGGATCTGTCACAGCCAAAAAGGATGTACAGTCACTGTACTTACAGGCTACGTCTACACTGGCATGATTTTCCGGAAATGCTTTTAATGGAAACGTTTTCCGTTAAAAGCATTTTTGGAAAAGAGCATCTAAATTGGCATGGACGCTTTTCCACAAAAGCACTTTTTGCGGAAAAGCATCCGTGCCAATCTAAACGCGCTTTTGCGCAAAAAAGCCCCGATCGCCATTTTAGCCATCGGGGCTTTTTTGCGCAAAACAGTACTGTGCTGTCCACACTGGCCCTCTTGCGCAAATGATTTGCGCAAGAGGGCTTTTGAACAAACGGGAGCAGCATAGTATTTCCTCAAGAACACTGACGATCTTTCATGAGATCGTCAGTGTTCTTGCGGAAATTCAAGTGGCCAGTGTAGACAGCTGGCAAGTTTTTCCGCAAAAGCAGATGATTTTGCGGAAAAACTTGCCAGTCTAGACAAGGCCACAGGGTTTTATCCAAAGCCCAATTCAACCAATGTAAAGATTTCTGTGGACTTCAGTGGGGTTTGAATCAAGTCTTAGCACTGTGCAGCCCTATTAGAGTGAGCCTTACATGCATCATACATACAAGAATGTTTGTATGATTAGCTTAAAACAAGACAAATTAAACTGAAAAGTGCAGAATGTAAAATGTTCCCATTGAGCATTCCATGGAGAATGAAGGTGGGGTTTTTTTAACAAAAAAAAAATTATATATCTCAAACTTAAAGCCAAAAAGGAATAAAACTCTAATGGAGCGTGCTATTTGGAATGTTCATTCCCATTTCTGTTCTGTCCTGTGGTTAATGCTTATGTAATTTTTCATATAATGCTCAGAGGATAACTAATTAGCCATCTAGTTAAAAATATATAATTCCAGACTCTGGGTATGATCCTGCAGCCTCTTCTGTGAGAGGCAGACACCTGTGCCCATGTAGATCCCGGCTAACACCAGCTTGCAGAATGGAGAACAATATTTGGAATCAGTGCAGGAAAATACTGAAAACTATCCACAGGAGTGGTGTGGGGTTTGTGTACATTTTTGTTTATTTTTCTTTTCAAGCAAAGAGGGAAAATAGAAAGGAAACTAGTATCATAATTATTGGAATATTATGCTCCCTTTGGAATGACCTTTTTTGTAAGCCATAAACAAATACCATCTGAGCTTGGCAGGAGTAAACTTCTGTAATCCCACTACAGCAATTTAACAGAAATATCATTTTTATTGATCTCAGAATATAGTGCTTCTCAGCTGCTTAATAAAATTGGAATCATTAATAAAAGTAAATGCTGAATTATTCCACCCGAGTACCGGTGCAGCAAGGAGAAATGTGCTGATGATCTAATTTGCCCATGAACAGATTCACATACTGAGATGAAATCTGGGCCAAAGAGGGATGGGGGAGGGGGATTAATAAAAAAAAATTGCAAGTAAATGTAACTTGGTTTGACAAGTATTTTTAATATCAAAACTTTGTTTTATTTATGTTTTAAAAACTCTTTTGATTTTACATATGCATTTATTTTGTAGAGAGCAGCTACTGCGGATAAGAACACGACCAAGGCTGAGAGCGCATGGCTATTCAGAATATGGTATGGGTTTGATCATAAGTATCCTTTTCTTCTTATAAACCACGGACACTTGCTTTGTTATGAGGAGCACACAGGAAATGCTTAAAAGTTCAAATATTATCACCCTTTTTTTAAAAAGTGAAATGAAATCGCAGCACGGCTAAGGAAAAGACAGAATGAAAGCAAGTTTGAACACACTGTTGAAATAGGGCAAGTGCAGTGGTACATGTTCCTAAATGAGGTGATAGGGAGAAAGAGAGCGCATCAGCCTGGGAACACCTGCCCAAATCAAAGATCTGTCAATGTATTAAAACAAGTTCACTGTGTCTAATTCCAGGATATGAAGCATGTGCAGGCATGAGCCAGTTACCATGTTGTTGTTGCAAGGCTCAGGAAGCAAGGCATTTAAGACCATGTAAAGCCTGATTGTGACTGGCCCATATGCAAGTGAGCAAAGGCGAATGAAGTCTCCCTTCAGTCTCCCTACACAGGGTCCAACCAAAATCAACATCCCTGTGCTCCCCTGGGCACAGAGGCAACTGTCTGCTTCTACATCTTGGTTCACTGGCCACCTCAGAGAAGGTGCAAAAGGGGTGAAGCACTAGCACCTCCCCAACCGGCATCCAGAGCTGCCTATTCCACACCTCCATAGGGGCAGCAGGCACATTCTCTGAGAACTGGGGGGCTCCCAGATGCCTGGGCTGCTTCTAAAAGCCACACTGCAGCCCACAGAGCCATCTCTGCAGCCAACACCTGCGCAAAGTGGCTGTAACAGCCTATCACGCTGGTTGGGAATTGGTTTTACAGCATTTTGCACAGTTGTCAGTGATACCCCTTGTGCACAACAGTGGAGAATCAATGTTCTATAGCAAGTACCATCACAGCAGCACAAATAACAGGAGTAATTATGTTGCCTTCTGTGAATACAGGATCAGGCAGGCCCACTGATGGGGTGGGAGTGTAGAGGGAAGCGGTAAAGCAGTCAGTTGCCTCTCAGCTCATGCATACAGGATCAGGCAGGCCTGCCGACGATGGAGTGAGAGAGGGGCAGTTGCCCCAAAGCCCTGTGATTCAAAGAGACCTAGGGGCGGCAGAGACAGCAGCCAGAGACTCGGGCCCTTTAAATTGCCGCCAGAGTGCCACCCTGCACTCTGTGCACCTCTGAAGGCTGGGTAGTGTGGAGGGCTGGCTGTTTGGGCCCCACCCCTTCCGCCTGAGGTCCCACCTCTTCCAGCGCATGAAGCCAGGCCTTCCCCCTGTCTTGCCCAGAGGACCGCACAGGCTATCTGCTCCCTTGTAATCAGATTTGGCGTGCGCGCGTGCACACACACACACACACACACACTATACCTCAGTGCTGACTGACCTAACTTTTGTTGTTCCATCATATTGGAGCACAGATCAGCACTCATGGGATAGGAAAGTGAAGAGGGATGAGTGAAAGAGAGAAGGAAAAGAAAATAAGAGGAAGTCATGAAAACAGAATAAAGAGAAAATAGGGGAGGAATAGAAGGGAAGAAAGCAAGAACCGATATAAAAAGATCAGAATACAGACCAAAGGGAAGGACAGGGCTAGGGGGAAGATGCACTTTAGGGCTATATCTACACTACCCGGAGAGGCATAAGGATCTTGCACAAAAAAGGGGTTTTTGCACCAAACAGACACATGCATGTTGCATGTTTTTGCACAAAAACCTTTTGCACAAAAACGGATCGGAGTAGATTATGCAAATGAAGCACAACAAAATGCTAATCAGCACTTCATTTGCATTGCCTCTTCCGGCAAAAACTCGTAGTGTAGACATAGCCCTAAAGTGCAGGAGAAACAAGGACATGGTAAATGAAAAAAGGAAGGGAATAGTGTAGAGAAACAAGGAAAATAAAGTGGGAAAGGAGAGGGGTTAGCTGAACCTATGATCTAGGTTACTGTGAAGCAGCAGCTGCTTTACCATTATCTTTTTGGGGGTACCCTGCATAATATAGAAATACCAACTGTAGATCTGCAATTCAGGACAATAACCTTTTCTTCCTGTGCACTTTAGAAAGTTTGACATCCAAGGTTCCAAGGTTTCTGCATTTCAAGAAAACATTAAATTTCTTACTGATTTTTGAAGAGATTCTCAAAATGAAAGCAAATTTACATCTTAAGTAGCAATCTGTCTTCTAGTCTGGTAATAATCTTTCTCCAGTGTTCTCATTTTCAAAGGCTGCAGCCCTGCCATTATCCTACAAATGTATTTTTGTTTTTTTAAAAAATATGACTTTTACATTTTATTTATGCTGAAGACTTATGTTCAAATCCCCGTGGAGAAGGATGGTTCAACCCACTAATGTCTGGACTGACAGCTCTGAGCTTTTCTGCAGTGTGAGTCACTATTCTGCTTCTGAAATATGTTCCTGTTCATTACAGAGAAAGAAATTATCCAACCAAACTATTCTTCAATACCTGTGCCCTTCTCTTAGCAATGTTATGAAGTCCTGGCAATGAATGTAGAAGATGAAATTAATACAATTGTCGTGGAGTGCAGAATTTATACCCAGTACAGGATTTCACAATAGATTATGATAAAGCCTTCAAAGAAAAGGTGCTGAAAGATAATCATCTGTCTAGTTATACACGTAGGAAGAGTCCATGCCTATGACATTTCTGTGGCCTAACATTTGCTCTCAGGCACCAACACATATCTACCCGCTCTCCTGGTAATAACATCCCCAATATGTGTTTATTTCATGCGAAGAGGCAAAATTGCAACAATCAAAAGGTTGTCTTGTTTCTTGCTGTCATTCTGAATGATTTCTTAAATTGACTTGGAGAATGTTTTAGGAACAATATTGTTAATTCAGCCACTAGGGGACTGATCCAAAAGCAGCTCTATCACAGAGGGTCTTTTCATTTGCTTCAGTTTGCATTAGATCTAGTTCTCGATACCTAGGAAAAATACATCTCATTTTTTAAGATTAAGTAACATTAACATCTGAACAGTGAAAATTAAGAAGAAATAATTTGTGTACCTGGGGATAACCCTATTGAGTTTTTCATTTCAGCATTGCAGTAAATACACAACAAGATGAAATATTTGGTATTTAAATGTCTCAGAGTCTGTCTCTGTTTTTATAGCCTGGATTTGTTGCCATTGGGAGCTGTAACAGAATACTAAGAGCTGATGAGGAAGAAGAGTTTTGGGGGAAAACACTAAATATTTCAAGAATATTTATTGAAGTAATAGAATTAATGTCCTAGCACTCTCATGGACAGGATATAGCATGGCTGTTTCAGTTTCCTTCAAGGGCAGCTATGTAGCTGTATTGAATATAGCAAGTTTTCACTAAAAAATAAAAGTGCAAGTGGAGTTTTTGATTCTTTCCATTTGGGGCCAGTAGCACATGAGGTCACGGCTCACAGAAAGGGAGTGAAGGTGTTTAGTCCAGCAGCATTCCAGGAAAGGAGCGGTGACCCTAGGAACCACAGTTCTCTTCCTGGTCTGTTCTTGTTCCAGGGAGGTAGCTGGGCAGCCAACAAACTTTGCTGGGCCCTGGGCAAGATGGATCAGGGCCAGTTCTGGGCCCCCAGAAGGAGCAGGGCCTTGGTGGGAGGGACAGGGTTTGGGGCCTAACCTCCTGTAGCCAGCCCTTCAGCGCTGGTGGCAATTTAAAGGATCTGAGGCTCCATCCACCCAGGGCCAGCTTTAGGCCAATTTCCCTGATTCCCCCAAATCGGGCCCTGCGCCTAAGAGGGCCCCACTCCCGGGCGCGCAGCGCATGCGCGGCCTCCACCCCAAGCACGCAGCGCATGCACGACCTTGCATCCACTTGGGGCTCTGTCCACTCCTTCCAACCCAGGTCCTTCTAAATCACTGAGCCCTGGGGCAGTTGCCTCCTTTGTCTCCCCTTAGCCACGGGCCTGGCTGGGAGTACTTTGCCAGGTCAGCTCCACCATTACCACCATTGCACTGGCTCCACCCATTCCTCACCCCTCTTCAGCCACTTGCTTCAGAGAGGTAATATGACAGTCTGTAGCATCCACTTACTTCAGGTCTGGGCAGCTTGTGTAGCAGTGAAAGCAGGTTCCACTATAGAGATATGTAGTGCAAGTCGTAAAGAAAGATTACATTTTAGAGTAGCAACTTACAAGAACTTTTCCCTGTTTTCCAATTACCATTGGGGATGCATACAACTTAACCAACCAATCTGGGTTAAAGAATCTTGTAGCAGATTTTTGGTTAACTAAAATTTCTTTCCCTTTCATGTTTTCATATAACTGCTACATCCCCCACTTAGATCATTTTTCCCTCTTGGTGACCACAATGGCCCTCACTACCCATTCTGTGGCCTAATTTGAAGGAAGTCTACAGGCTTGTCACTGCCTGTAACCCAGGACATGGAAAGTGAGACATGGTGATGTGAAGTTGAACGAATGGTTGAGGAGAAGAATGACATGTTTTAAAGGGGAAGAAAAGAGAGAGAACCTAATACCTGTTAATCACTATTCCTACTAATCCGTACATTTTATTATGTGTACCAAAGCAGTGCATCCATGCGCTACCAGTAGCAACTCTTCCTGCCAGCTGAGTGCACTCTGCTAATCAGTTGAGTAGCATTTGAGCCATACGCTACCAGTACCAACACTTCCTGCCAGCTGAGTGCGCTCTGCTAATCAGTTGAGTAGCATTTGAATCTCTCATGGGTGGCCACCCAAAAGCACAGCTTGCAGGGAACACTGCTGTTAATATATCAGTACAATGCAGACATTGTACTTTTAATGGCAGAGCTCTCTCTTCAACATGACACACTAGAAGTTAGTCTGAGGACCAACAGATATTGCAAAGCAGAGGAAAAGATGCGTTGAGATGCTGTGGAAGGAATGGAGGGAAGCCAATAAGAAGGGAAAGATGAGGAAGACCAAAGGCAAAGGATCCACAAAGTAAGTTTGTTTTTATTACTTAATAGATATGGAGTGTCATTGGGCCTGATCTCAAGCTCAGCCCACAACTTAGGTGGTTGGTTGTTGGTTGTTTCTGACAAAGGTGTAGGGAGGTGCT